CCTGACCTCTGATCATGCGCGTGGCTCTTCTCTGGACTCTCTCAAGCTTCTCCACATCCTTTTTGAATTGTGGAGCCCAAAACTGGATGCAGTACTCCAGCTGCGGCCTCACCAAGGCCGAGTACAAGGGGAGAATGACGTCCCGGGATTTGCTTGAGAAGCATCTATGGATGCAAGCCCACGTTTTGGTCGCTTTACTAGCCGCAGCATCGCATTGCAGGCTCATGTTCATCTTGTGGTCAATCATGACCCCCAAGTCTCTTTCTTCCATAGTGCTAGCCAGCATAGCACTGCTGAGCCTATAAGGTTGCTGTGGGTTTTCCCTCCCAAGGTGGAGAACCTTGCATTTTTCGGTGTTAAACACCATCAGGTTCTCGTCCGCCCATTTCCTGAGCCTGTCAAGATCAGCCTGGATTGCCCTCCTGTCCTCAGGTGTGGCTGCTTTGCCCCAAAGTCTGGTGTCATCGGCGAACTTGGCCAGTCTGCTGACTCCAATGTCCACATTATTAATGAAGATGTTGAACAGTATGGGTCCAAGGACAGAGCCTTGGGGGACCCCACTGGTCACAGGACACCATGACGATTGACTTCCATCGATTACTACCCTCTGGGTCCGACCACGGAGCCAATTTTCCAGTCAGCGAATCGTGGAGGACCCAAGGCCACAATTGGCCAGTTTCACCAAGAGGTGATCATGGGATACTAGATCGAAAGCTTTTTTTGAAGTCAAGATATATGACATTAATCTCTTCTCCCTTGTCCAGGTGATAGGTCACCTGGTCGTAAAAGGAAATGAGATTGGTCAAGCAAGACCCACCTGCAACAAACCCATGCTGGCTATCCCCCAGGATGTTGCCATTGGCCAGTCCATTAAGGATGGCCTCTTTAATAAACTTTCCTAAGACTCAAATACAGGTGGCAGCATTGGAAATGGAGGGATGGATGAACTGAGGAAGAATTTACCTTAGTCAAGGCTCTGTCAGCACCTAATACTCCTTGGGCTCTAGCCATTGGATCACAGGGTCTTGCTATGGATTACTTTCTACAGGTGTCTAGCCATGTCCAGCTCTGAAGAGTCACCTCTCTCTCAGGGGAGCAGTGGCTGGTTCTAGCTCAAGGCAGTCATTGCCTATTTTTGCTTCCTTTGCAGTTTATGATGAGCTGCAGTGGATTTGCCTTGACACCACCAACTTCCTCGGGTGACATTGAAAGGCTGAGTTTGCCTTTTGGAACCTGCCCTCTGACAGTGCATTTTCCTTGCACTGATCATTCACATTCAGACTCCATGCCTGGTTTGAGTTCTGGGTTGAAACTGGGGTAGGGCCTCCCAGGGCTTATAAGAGGCTTGAACTTGTCACTTCCTGCATGAAAGCTTTGCTAAATGTGAGTCCAGTCACAGAGCAGGTGGGATGATGTCCTTTTGTGCTCTCTCTCTCTCTCTCTCTCTCTCTCTCTCCCTCTCCCTCTCCAGAAGCACCAAGAGTATCTTCTGCTCAGTGGAGAAGGCATCTGCAGTGAGAGGGGCAGCATGGGAAGGAAGCAAACATTGTGGGTTCTTCCCCTGAACGAAAGGAAGCGTTCCTACTTATACATTAATTATTTTACCGTAAATGAAGTGGGAGGTTTCTTGGGGCTTCTCTAATAACCATTTTTTCCCCTGTAGCCAATAACATGTCATTTTGTCCACCACCCCCAACCATGAGAGTTTGTTGTTCTGTTTTGTTTTTAATTTTAAACACAGATTTTTTCTCTCTCCAAATTAACCTATTTTAAATTAAAAATCTGATCAGCTCCCCCTCTCCCTTTCTGCACGGACAACTGCGGGGGTTGGAAATCAAAGGCTTTTGCAACAGACAAGGATTTTTTGGAAATAAATAAAGTCTCCTTAAAGATTCCTTCTTTTTTCCCAAACCAGGCAAGTGTTTTGTTTTCCATTTAAAGTTGCCTTTGAACCCCAGGAAGGTTTTCTTTTATAATCTGTGCTGGCTTCCCCCTGCAACCAGTACGTTTCCAACACATCTTCATTCCTTGATATGTTCATCAGCCCCATTAGCATAAACAGCAGCTTCCTGCACACAGCGAGGCAGACGGATGGGAGAGAGGAGGACGAGAAGAGGAGAGACATCCTGCCTGCGCCTTTGTGAGTAAACAGGACCACATTTTCCCTTTCTCTGAAACAGCTTGTGCTGGCTTCTGTCATAGGCAGGGTTGCAGGCTGGAGAGACCATTGCTGTGGTCCAAGCTGGCTGTTCCTATGCCCTCAGTTC